CTTAAAGATAGCACTTAATATTTTGTTCTGTAGACTACATTGAAATTGAATATCTATAGAACTAATATAATCACCACTCAATCTGAAAGCATGACTTTGTGCCATCATTTGAATTTCTACCCCATAGTTTTTAAATAGCTATTAGTTAAGTAACCAACTAAATACTGTTCAGGAGGTTAGATTAAAACAAATTTTCACTCTAATAGAAATGACTTCTCACAGTAAAGAAACTGAGTCGATGCATAATTTCTTTAGCTGTCCTCTGATAATCCAATTATTGACAGGATTTACATATTGTTTTTAGTTTAGTGCATAAAATTTTCTTGTAATTGAATATGTCACAATATGACTAAAACACTAGAAATTAATAAGAAAAGATGGAGAGAATGAACAGAAAATGTTAATCAAAGCAGTTGATAGGATCATAATAACTGTAACTGCATGATATCAGAACTCTGCTCTGGTTCAGTTCTGTAAAATGTCAACTTCATTTTATATAGTTATAATAGAATTGTTTACTTGGCTTCTTTTTATTCATGATGGGATGAGGTGTCATTGATAAGGCTAACATTTATTGCCCATCCCTAATTGCCCAGAGGGCAGTTAAGAGTCAACCACATTTCTGTGTGTCTGAAGTCATATGTAGGCCAGACTAGGTAAGAATGGCAGTTTACTTCCCTAAAGGGCATTAGTGAACCAGGTGGGTTTTACTGATAATTGACAATGGATTCGTGGTCATCATTTGACTTGTCATTCCAATTTTCTTTCATTGAATTCAAATTCCATTATCTGCTGTGGGATTCAAAGCCGGGTCCCCAGAATATTATCTGGGTCTCTGATTAACAATCCAGCGATAATACCACTAGGCCATCATGTCCCCCTCCTGTTATATTTCAAATATTTGTTGATGTTAATAGTAATCAAACGTTTTGGATCTTCTGTTGGTAGATAGAAATGGCTATATATAAAAACAATGAAAGCAAAACAAAAATCAGAGTTATGGATTAAATACTGTATGAATTTTTTCATCTATTATTTGTATCTGAAAGTTTCACTGGAACCAATATTCCACAATAGCATGAGAATATTTCAACTTCACGTCTAGGAGTGTTCTGTTTCAATGAAAATTGATACAGATGAGATGTAGAAGACCTACTTTAAGACTGACAGTCTGTGGAAGTTAAAACAATGTGTATTGCAGATCACAAACATAACAAGCAATGTTGATGAAAGTGAGTTGAGCTACCCAGCGTACAGATTTGTTGTGTCAGCTGACAAAGCACAAATTTATATGTCATTCCTCCTGTTTAGTAAATGCAAAGTTTTCATGAATCTTGTTAACTCCAAGAAATGCATATTTTGGACAATATTTTCAAGCATATACAAAATATATAGACACCGTAAAATTCAGATCTGGAGCACCTGTCATTTGGATAGACTCACCAATCAGCATTAAACATGTGTTCAGCAACTGTAAGGACCCCAACGTCCACCCAACTGCTCACAAGTGCTATTTTAAGGAATCATCTACTGCATACAAATTGGTTTCTGATTAATTACAATGTTAGGAGGATCTGTGCTTTAAGAAGCATGTCCTCATTGAAATCTGCCACCTATTGCAGGCACAACAGCAACCCAACTGTGAACAGCATCATGTCAGCATGGAGGGCTGAGTTGGACTGGCAGGCTGAGTAGTAGATGTAGGAGAATAAATGGAGGACAGCCCCACAGAACCCTGACTTGCCTCCAGGACAGGCCTCAACAATCCTTGAAGTTTGTTAGTGGACAGTTTGCTGGACTGATGTGAGACTCTCCAATTCCCCTTACATTCTGTAATTCACAACCACTTTGTTTAAAGTCTGATGTTGTGTGGATGTAAGCTGACTTCTCGTAACCTTAGTCTGAGGTTCTGCTGCAGGAGCCAGACGTTGGCATTCTACTTGTGTTGCAATGCAAGCTGAGATATCACCCATCAAATGCTACATCATTATAGGAGGGATGTGATTGCACTGGAGGGTGCAGAGATTTTCCAGCATGTTGCCTGGGCTGGAGAATTTTACTTATAAAGAGAGACTGGATAGACTGGGATTGTTTTCCCAGGAGCAGAGGATGCTGAGGGGGTCATGACTGAGATGTACGCAGTTATGATGGGCATAGATGCATTAGACAGGAAGAAACGTTTCCTCTAGTGGAGGATTCAGTGACCGGAATCTAGACTTAATGTAAGGTGCAGGAAGTTTAGATGGAATGTTGAGAATAATTTTTCCCTAGAGGGTGGTGGGAATTTGGAACTCACTGCCTGAAGCCTGGTAGAGGCAACAACCATCATAACATTTAGGAAATATTTATATGTAGTCTTGTACTGCAAAAACATAAAAGGCTACCAGTCAAGTCCTGGCAGATGGGATTAGGACAGTTAGGTGGTTGTTTTTGACTGATGCAAATTCGAACGGTTGAACCTTCTTCCCGTGTTGTAGCCCTCTATGGTTCTATGACTCTATGGATTGGACTGTGAGGGCACTCATGATTGGCCACTGCTTCCAGACTGGAGAATATCAGTTCCAAGTTCTGCACAAAGACTTTTGCTGAGAAAGTACTGGGCTGCTTCATGTTTCTTCATTGACGTAGGCTTTTTAGCAGGTTTCCCACTGGATCAAGCATCTTTTTGTGCATACCATTATTGTTTCTCGGGAGCCTGCCCCATTGAAATGTTCGTCCAAGCTCTCTCCAGCAGAATTCATGTGCAACCTCAAGTAAAAACAGAAAATGCTGCAGAAACTCAGCAGGTCTGGCAGGGTCTATGGAGAGAGAAAAACAGAGTAATGTTTCAAGTCTGATATGATTCTTCTTCAGAACTCAAACAGTTCTGAAGAATGTAAACTTATTAACTCCTGTAAAGACATGGGGACAGCAAGCCAAATCAAATCAGTCTTCCTTTCCCTGTATTCATAATGCAGTAAAATTAAAATATTCAATGACACTCAAAATTGTCCCAATAATTCCTAAACAGACTTTTAGAATAACAGATATCAGATAACAAGGTTTATAGCTCAAATAAAAATTAACAATTTATTATTAATACTGTAACTTTAGCAGAGCAAAACCAAACATCAATGTAATCTAATGTCTATGATTTAAACCCAAACTTCTTTGAACATAGACCCCACTTACATATATACAGATAGACAGACATCATTAAGGGATATTAAAAGAAAAATGTAAGAGATGTAACTGGACTCACTTAAGAAATTTTGATGATGTATAATATCACAGGTACAGGGCATTGAATCTTGCTTGATTTCTGAAGATACCAGTCATACAAACAGCTTCAGTAGGCTCTGAGGGATTTCACTTATTTGTTGTAAATTGGCTTCTGTTCCCAGAATTTTCAATAAATTGAGAATGAAACAATAACCAGAGAGAAACCAAACATCCTTCCAGCAGCTTTCACAGCCACAGCCTTTCTGTCTAAAAACCTGTTCAACTTCAGTTTCTCTTTCTGTTTGTCCAACTTTCTCTTCATTTGGTCAGTTGGCATGGCCTCCCTGTGATGGCCCCTTTTAACATCCAAACATCTGTCAGCCTTTGAGAATCCTACATCTCCAGAGCTGAAATTTCTACAGTGTTCCTTGAACAATAATGAAGCTGCAATTAACTTCCCAGGCCAGGTTCTATGAAAGAATATCAGTTTTTTTGTTCTTCCATTTTTTTATTAGAAGAAAGCTGTTGCTCACTGGCCAAAGGTCATCTTCAATTCACAGCTCATAGTTCCAACCAAAATTTAGAAGAATAAAACCAAAAAGTGAAGGTCTTAACACTCTTGTTTCTCTTTCCACAGATGCTGCAAGATTTGTTGAGTTTCTCCAGCACTCTGTTTTTATTTCAGATTTCCATCTTTCGCAGCATTTTGCTTTCAGGTGCAACCTCACCCTCCAGAAATGCTGAACTTGCACTAGCCTTGGTTGTAGAACACACATATCCAGTGTCTCACTGTGTAAAGATGCAGTCTCCTGAAAAATGTTTATCACTTATTTGCTGCAAACTGCTTGCACCTCTGCTAAAGTTGAATATATGCCTGTCATTGTTGAGCAGTTAGGAGTATGTATAATCTGTGAGATGTGGGTATAAGACGAACGGTAGTATTCAGTGTGTGAGGATACAACACAGCATATGAATGATATGAGTCCTGATTGTCAGAATTTGTTAGTAGCTAAGTTTTAAATGGGTGGTGAATTGAGCAAAGGGGTGAGGCCAGTGTACAATTGGAGGGATACAGCATTTGAAGATGCATTCAATGATCTTAACTGCTCGTGAGGTCACTGAACGTCTTGCAGGAATTGGTGAATGCCCTTAGGACTTCAGTCCTGATAATGCTCCCCTCAGGTGTGTACTTGGAAGGCCACCAGGCTCCTGAGTGATGCTCAACATCTCTATTATTTATCAACTTTTCCACCAAGGTCGCCCCTGAATCTTGTGTGTTCTTACTTTGTTCCATTATGTAATGGTTCCCAGATCAGCTTCATTTCCTAAACGACTGTTAGTACCTGTTCCAACCCAATATATCTCTCTTTAAGAGGTGCAGGAAACTATTAGCACTCACAATATTGGTCCCCTGCTTGGGAGCCTTCAATGAACAACACATGTAGTACTGGCTGGACACTGAAATCCTTTAAAATAGTAGAAAGTGTAAAGTTGACATGCTGCCTGCGTTGCAGTCAACAGGGATACTTTAATCATGGACTGCTATCCCTGCAGCTGGTTTGAGGGCTGTCAAATTTAGATGCCCACAGTGTTTTCCAATTCTATCATTTAAAAGTAAGACTAAAGGAATTCTGCAACAGGGATGTTTTCATTACAAGAGAATGTGATTCAATTGCCATTGATTTCGTAACAGTGTGAATGTTTGTGGCAATGTAGTGCTGCGCAAGACTGTCGTGATGATAAAATTATTTTTGTTGATTTGTTTTTAAGTTTTTAATTTTCAAATGTTTCATTTTTAGTCCAGTACTTGCTTTAACCGAGATGCAGTGAAGGCAGGCACAGGACGCCGCTTCCTTGGTGGTCTTCTGGATGACACCTCCTACTGCTACACACTGGAAGTTTCCTTTTACAGTTATGTAGTAGGAGGAACTACCAGCACAGTTCCTTACACAGAAGAAGCCTGTATCCTTTTAATGTAAAGAGCTCATTGAGATGTTATCTCATGGATGAATACAGTTATTATTAGGAGAATGTCCATGTGCAAGAAGTATGCATTATCAGAAAATCAACCTAAGTTCATTGACACTTGATTATTCTAGTTGCTGTGTGAAAATATCTTCCTGAATGAAGTGGCCAATCGTTACTAGATATGTAAGTCAGACTGCAAAACAAATTAATGACTTCATCACAAAACACTGCTTGATGAAATTTATCAATTGGGTGAAGGAGTTAGGAAACCTGTCTGTCTTATCATCATTCTTACATTGGTATTTCATTGCATTGGCTGTAATCCTCCAGTGCCTCCGCTTGTAAAAATATTTTCCTTATGTTTAAATCTGTTCATACCCTCTCCCCTCATTCTCTAACTTGGTCCATTTCCACAAACACTTCTGAATTCTCCTTTCATCTGAATCTGAATCTGTGCAATTCAAACAAGGCAGCACACTTTTAATGGTACACACTCTTGGTCCATGGAAGTTTGTAGTTTCAATTCTCACTTCACAGACTTGACTACAAAGTTCTAAGCTTATTCTCCAGTACAGTTACTGAGGGAGACTTTCCATTGAGATATTAATCTGAGGCCCCATTTGGTCTCTTTGGTTGGCATAAAATATCCCATGGCACTATTTCAAAAGACAAAGGTTAGTCCTGATGTTCTGGCAAATATATATCTAACAATCAAGACAAACAAGAAGATTAACACATTATTATCTAATCACTGTTTGTGGGAAATCATTATGCACAATTAGTTATTACATTATCTACATTGCAACAGAGACTCCACTTCAAAAATACTGCATTCTAAAATACTGGTTCTAAGGTCTAGGATTTCCTTCCTAAACTTTTCACTCTCTTCTCTTTTCAACCGTTCCTTAAAATCCACATCTTTAACCAAGCTTTTGCATGTCCTTCCCAAGGGGTTCATATCCAATGTTGTTTGAATTTGTTGTTGCATTTGTTTAACTTGCTGCACAAATTATATTTTAAAAATCTTATCAGTGAATAACAGCTGATTCACTAGGTGATATTGGCAATGCTTTCTATGGTATTTTTGCCTGTTAATTTAAGAAAGAAATTAATTTGTTTAAATTAAAATAAATTAATTGGTACACAGCTGAATTACACATTGAAGTAAATTTCATGATTTAATGTTCCCGACTCAATGCTTCATGCTTAATTTAAATTCGTACGAATTTCCATCCATTAAATTCTGGTACATGTTAGTCCAGTAAGTCTTTGTATTCACCTCCCATTGGTCTGCCATGCTTCCCAAGGCCTTGTCAGCCAGAGTTAAACAATAAAACGTGTTAAATGCAGAATTCCAAGTCTCATTACAATACTTCAATTCCATTGCCAGCCTTTTTGAACAGTTAGGCTGCCCAGTCCCAGTTCTACCTTTATTGAGCAGATGGATTGAGGCGCAGTTTGAGATTTTAAAACTATAACATCTCAATGTAACATTGTGGGTTCTCAAACCACAGACATCTGAGAAGAAAACAGTTGATTATTCATAGCTAATTTTAGAGTGGTTGTTAAGTATATTAAATTTAAGTATGTTAGTTAAATCGGCAGGAAAAGTATAATGGACATGATGGCCAAGAGCAGTTCACTAATCCAAATAAGCATTGGTACGGAGTGTGTTGATCTCAGTAGCTCATGATAGCATCATCCTGCTCTCTATTCAAAGTATTAGGGAACTTTCCACTGGTCTTCCTCAATCCATCTTGGTTCATCTTCCATCTGAAGAAGGCACCTGCCTGATGAGGACTGCCACCTGATAAGGGCAAACCCCTGTCTCCAAGTACATGTTAATAAAGGTTTAGGCCCGAAACATCGACTCTCCTGCTCATCTGATGCTGCCTGACCTGCTGTGTTCCTCCAACTCCACAGTGTATCGACTCTGACTTCAGCATCGGCAGTTCTTGCTATCTCCTACATGTTAATATATTGTATTTCTAGGGCTTGATACTTTACCTTATGTCATTAAGTTGTTTAAATGTTTCTAATCAATGAATATAGAACAGCCACCCAAGATGTAGGAACGGTTACCTCCTCCTTGTCCATCACCTTGTTTGAGGTAAGTTTTTGGCTTACCCTTGTTTTTGAGGTTATTTAAACATTAGCATTGATAAAGGGGTTCATAGCTGACTCCCTGCCATCAATTCAGCAATGTCTGTAGAGTTGAATGAGCTCAGAGTGTAGGGGAGTGTAATCTTTGTGACTTTTATCTTAGCTTTGTTTTAGTCCTTGACAGTTTAGAATCATTTATGCTTTTCTATGTCAATTAAGTCCATAGCAGTTCTGTGCTATCTGAATGAATATTTGGTACTTATTTCTTAGACTCACCCAACTCTGAACTAATCATTTGTGAGGGTTAAAATTACTCTCAAATCTCTAGAAGCCACAGCTACATGAAAAATGGTTTAAATGTCAAAAATGCCTGAAATATTAGACATCCTCACAATTTACTCTCAGAAGATACCTTATACCAGTGGCATTTGCATCATCTACCCGCAAGTTAATAATCATAATGTAATTTTTGATATATTCAGCTAAAGAAAAATATTAATGTAAATTATGAGACAACAAGGTGCAGGGCTGGATGAACACAGCAGGCCAAGCAGCATCATAGGAGCAGAAAGGCTGACGTTTCGGGCCTAGACCCTTCTGATGAAGGGTCT